CCTGCTTTAATCTGGTGTCATGCTTGTTTACATTTTTCATTTTTGGCAATCGTTGAGCGAGCTTTCGTGAGCTTTTTAATTTAACTTTATATTCCCTAATTTTGTATGTTGGTGTTGTCATTACCTCTAAAAGACTCCTTAAATATAACACCAAACCTTTGGCAGCACTTGGTAAAGCTCGTCACTTATAAGTAATGTGCTCTTGAATTATCATTGATTTAAGTTTCTGTTTGCCGGTAAGTCAGCGCAATGCCTGAGTATGTCTCTGATATTAATATCTACCATTGATATTGGATTTTCACCTTATCAAACACTTCAGTTCAGACTTTACCTCCAGTTTCTTTTAGTAATGGAGCATTTAAATCTGCACTTTCTTGCCAGGTGATGATTTATAAACCACATTACGCCATGTACATATTTATGCTCTAAAGCGCGCCTCTCCTTTTGACAGTGTAACTACATAAATGAGTATCTCGTTTCCGGTGTGCCAAAATCTAAGCTCCCTCTATTTTATTTGAGAACAATCCTACATTGCAGTGAGATTTTTTTATAATATAATCTTAAATGGCGGAGGAAAAGTAAGGGAAGTTTTCAAGGTACGATACGCAATCGATTTAGATTTGAAAAGTAGTTACTTCAGGAAGTCTGCAATTTAGCAAATTGAGAAACAAGTCTCTGCAGTTTCACTGGTGATGCATTCTAAACATTCCCCATTTTAACTTGCACTCTCCGAAGGAGAATTACACACTTATTTGAATCAAGTTACTCTACTGTTTTTAACAAAGTAGCTTCAACGTTTTTTGGAAGTAGTGTGCAAGTAGTTGAAAAATGTGTCACTTCAGAAATCAGTGAATGAGCTTGGTATTTTCAGTTATTTTTGCATACAAGATGGGTACTCTGAAATCTCTTTTTATAGTTAAATGCTACTTATATTCTTGCCCTTACATAATCATTTTGAGGCTGTTGTCATTATTTGTGTAATATAATTACTTAACTTTTGGTATTTTTTTTCAGATGGCATTTAGTGAATAGACCTGGTTGCAAAGGATCCTATTTTAACATCAGTTTCGATCAAAACATTAGGTATCATGGCAGAGAGACAAAAAATGTAAGTTCTCAGTTGGAAGCTTTTGAGTAAGCTATTGAGAGAGTGTCTTTGTAATAATTGTACCAAAAAACTATATCCTAAATAACTCCATAATTAATTTTATGAAAATAAATTGACCATTTTCTTAACTTGCAAACCAAATAACCACATCCAGAGACTCATCTCTTTTCTATATCCCTCAGTAGCACCGATTTGTCCAATCCTTTTTTGCCCTCCGTCAATCATGAGGAATCATGGCAGCGTAGTCACTTGCAAAGGGAAAAAAAGCATCTTATCTGACGGAAGCTCCTGCATAACAATTTTTATTCGTAATCAGATCGGCCTTAATTTATCTGGAATTATAAGCAAGTAACAGTAGAGCTATTTTATTACGACTACCCCTGAATACTTTGTGATACATATCAGCGTTGCATTTATAGTGACTTTTCCATTATTTGGCGCACCAATGTTATATTTTCTTGTCTTATTATTCCAAATTGCAGACTTGTTGCTGGGAATGTCAATGGCAACTTCAAAACCCTTTTCAATAGAATAAACTCAATTGTTAAGAAAAATGGTCCTTTTGATTTCATGCTGTG